TCGCCATTTTATTAGCTCAAAAGAAAGCTACCACATAGCTCCAACTCTTTCTCTCTCTCGTACACTTATATATCATATTCATATAACATTACAAGCTCTTCCTTCCAAGCTTCAACTTACTCCCCCATTCAACCATTTGATTATTATCCATCGCTCTCAACTTACTATTTACTCGTACTTGTACCACCCCTCTCTTTATTAACATTTTCCAAACTTGACTTGTATTATTATTAACCCTCCCAATTTCCAACCCTTTTTTCACCTCATTCTCACAAAACCCGTAGTTAGTAGTAATTCCTTCATTCTTTTGTCTTAGCCCTATAAATTCAAAGACCAGTGGAGAGATTATTCATCCATCCAGAGATTGAAGCAGCAACAAGAAAAGAAAGAAGAAAGAAAACAAACGATGATGCAAAGTAATAGGGGCAATGTTGGTTCTCATGGAAACATGGCTGGACCATGTTCATGTGGCATGTTCCACACTCATCAAGCCAATTCATTCTCAATGCCTAACCATCACAATAAACCCTTTGATGAAACTGCTGAAATGTATTCTTTCGCACCATCTCCGCCGTCTTCCTCTGTTGATTGCATTCTTTCCTTGGGCACCCCTTCTACTCGTCTAACCAATAATGACACCGAAAAAAGACGCTCTTCTTACATGTCTAACTTTTGCTGGGATATTTTATAGTCCAAACATTCATCCAATTCTCCCCATTATTCGTCCCACAAAAGTAGCCAAGCAAACAATCACACCAACTCCAGTTATGGTGGGTGCTGTTTTAATGGAAAATGTTCATATATCGTCCTTGAAGGAGGGTGGGACAAGTTCTTCGGCATCGGTATCTGAGGTTCAACCAGTCTCGAAGGATGGGTTGGGGGTTTCCCTGCAACACCAGGTACAGTCTAGTGTGTTTGTTGAGGGTAGCTTCACGGAGTTTTATTGGGAGGTTCAAACACCACTGGGAGTTTTATTGGGGGCTAAGGGGTAGAATAGTAATATTTGCTAAAAATTAAGTATAAAAAATTTGTTTTTAGCTTTCAGTATATCAGTCCCGCTAATTTTACCGATTTCCGTCAGGTTTACAATTTAGTTCAAAACATGAGGTACCGTATTGTATATTTTGAAACCATAGGGGGCTTATTTGTATAATAGGTTTACCATAGGGGATTTTTTTTTATTTTTTATCCTATTTTATTAGATCGATGGCCAAAACTTTACCATTAAGTGTTGGAGAGCTAAAACTTTACTCGGGAAAGAGTTGGAGGGCCATTGAGACTTTTTCCCATGATTTTACAACAATTCCCGTACATAACCTGTGTAGCAACGCTATATCTTAAAAAATTAAAAAAAAAAGATTTTGTTTTGGTTGCCACAGACCAAACATGTCATTTAATATGCAATGACATTAAAATAAGATAGATGATATTTTTAAAGTATTTGAAATCCTTCTCTTTTTTTTTTATGGCTCGCACAATTTTCTGAAGATTCATATAGGAATATTGGTTTTCAACTTTATGAGTTCACCTTATAATTTATTTTCAACTTTTTGGGTTCACCTTATGTTTCAAGCATAATCGGTTTAATATGGCCCGAATTTAAGTCATCATCTTTTATATAAAATTAAAAAAAATTAAAATTGAAACAAATGGCCAAATCAGGTGACTTGATACAAATAGTGGTGCATTCAAGTTGAGTCGACTATTCAAGCTTGACTCGTGGTAAAGTAATTGAGTTTAAGCTAGTGTTTGAACTCGTCACAATCTTTTAAAAGTCAAACTCAAACTCGACTTTGACTTCAATTTACCTTACTCGAACTTGAGTTTAATTAAATCTAATCCAGTCTAATCAAACTCAATTGAACGTATTCGAATCTAATCAAGCTCAACTAATAAAAATTAATATTTTACATATAATTTTAAATAAAGGATATAATTGACATTTCATAATAATAAATATAAAAATTGAAAAATATATATTATGAAAAACTCGATTAGGCTGATCAAGCTTTGAGTACAAGAATTTGGAACTCGAACTGAACTCGTAATCTCAAACGAGTAGTTCAAACTCAACCTTATATTTGGTCAAAGCAAGCTCCAGTCGAGCTGTTGACCGAGTAGCTCACGAGTTCTATTCGAGTTACTTAATTAAACATCACCCCTAGATACAAGTATGGAACTCTATGGCCACAAATTGCAATTGCAATTGAAGAATCCTTCAATCCGATTAAATACACAAGACAAAAAATAATTACTCAAAAATACAAAAACGGTACTTCCTAAGGCTAAAATGGGTATACCATGTTAGCGAGTTACATTACTACTGTCGAATGATTTTCCGAAATGACATAAATGCTCCTTCACATTTCTAAAAAGTCTCATTTTTTTCAACCCTTCACATATGAGATAGAGAAAAATGGTCCCTCACATATTCAAAATGAATCATTTTGTTCCCAGATCCCATTTTCTAGTCACTTTTCAATTAAAAGACGCACGTCTAGCTCACGTATTGTGTGAGAGTCATGCAAGTTTTCTTGCTAATATTCTTGTTGCCCCTATATTCATTAACATGTGATGCATGTGCTTTTTAATTAGAAAATGTTACAAAAATGTGATTTAATACCAAAAATGATACACTTTGAATGTGTAACTAACCATGTTGTTCCATTTCGTATGTGAAAGACTGTAAGAAACTTTTTCAAATATGTGAGAGATTATTTAGGTCATTTCACCTCGATTTTTCGCAAGACTGTAGGTACAAAATATGGCGCATTTTCAAAGTCTAAATAAGGGAAAATCATTTAAAGCATCTCTCACGTCTCATCAAATGAATTTTTTTTTCATCTTTTACTTTGTAAATGGTAATTTTGCATCCTTTCCAAAATTAAATTGGTAAAATTTGGTCCCATCTTAGATTTTCAACTACTTTTTACGTTGAATCCATCATGTAACTTATATTTGGTCATTTTTTTAGGGGCAAAAAGATTGGGTTTTTTTTGTAATTAAACAAAAGAACCAATTCATATTCATTTTTACATCTAAAAAAATTAGCTGACCCATATTTTTCTAGAAAAGTGAAATCTAACCAATTCATATTCATTTTTGTCACTAAAAAAAAAGGATATGACCTTTTATACATAAAAAATGGCTACATGTTTGTCACGTAGTGATTTCAAACTAAAGAATGGTCAAAATTAGGTTGGGATTAATTTTTGGATTAACTTTTTATGCACTAATAGTGCATTAAATTTTTTTTACACTAGCAATTTTGGATATATATCACATGTATATGATTTAAATTTTAAATTGAATTCATGGTATGCGGTATAATCTAAACCTATTAGTGCAAAAAACTTATAAACTGACAAGCGTATAAAAAAGTTATCCATAAGTTTTACAAAGTTGAATCTGTATCGGATGTAAAGTTAATATTTGAATTATTTTCCCTTTGAATATTAAATATAACGAATTGTTACCCGTGTCAAGTTTTGATTGTTTGACAGAGTTGGCAAACAAACCCAACAACCCACCTAACCCACCCACTAATTTTAAGGGATGGTTGGATCAGTTGGATTATGGAATTTGTTGAATTGGGTCAAAAAATCCAATTTATTCATTGGGCAAGTTGAATTTTTTATTTGGCAACCCAATACTCAACTTGTTAGAAAAAATTCAAAACAATAAATGCGAAAGAAAATCACTTTTCTTCCTCCGATTTTGTCTACAAATTTTAAAGGATGGGTTGCTACTTGCTTTTGTTTGTTAATGTTTCGTATACCTAGATTAGAGTTTTACATTTGCATTCTTTTACTTTTCTTTAACTTGTTCTATTTCATTGCTAATAATTCCTCACCAATATTATAATACAACAAATTATATGTCTCTTAATTACATTTTCAAGTATAATATAATCTAGTATTCAATAATTTAAGTACATAGAATACTACACCTTACAATAAAACAAATGTGAATAGTAAAAGCGTTAAATAAATTGTGATAAAAATAAGTTTCAATAAATTAGTTGTATTAAAAAGTATAAAATAAACAAAAATTTTTTGCTAATCTATTTAAATGTACAATTTATGATCTAAGATTCACAATACATGCAATATAAAATATTATTCTATTTATGGCATGTTTTCAAGGAGTTTAAAAAGTGAGTGTTTATTTGTGCATGTGAAAATTTGTTACTGTATGAAAATATGTTTATGTACATGAAAATGTGTTTATGTGTGTAAAAAAAATTTTTGTGTGTAAATGTATGTAAGAAAGTTAATGTATGAAAATGTATTAATTAATTTGTTGTGTCATATTTGGATCATAGGTTTAAGATGATTCAATATGATCCAATCCAAAATCATTCTAATCTAAAGTTGGGTGAGTTCCGTATAACACATCTAAATAAAATCCTAGCACCAACCCACCCAATTGTCAGGCATATTGTTTAACCAGCTGTTGATGGAACCAGACACGGAGACAGGGAGAGAGCAGCGTCCTCCAATTACATACTTTTGGGCGTTGGAATGTGAATAATGTGATATTGCCACAAACTCAAGCTCTATCAGTGGTACTCCACTGAAATATAGCTACGAATAAGAGAGAATGTAATATTCAAAATAGAGAGGAAATAGATGATCAGAGAATGAAGGAAGAGTTGAGAGAAACTTGCAGAGAAAAGAATTAATCCATTCACTCACAAGGAATCGATTTCAATATCAATAAAATTAATAACAAAAAGTACTAATACTGGTGCCTGAAGTTACTTGTAACTAACTGCTAACGTGGACCACATCTGAAAAAATCCACTTAATAGCCCAAACATAACAAACTACAAAGAAAACGACAAAATACTACTAATTCCTACTTAATTCTGTTAACTAAGTAAAAAGACATAGTTTACTAATAACTCAACATAAATCTGTTAGTTCAATTAGTCTTGTGTCATCACTTCCCCCTTGAATTCCACCTTGTCCTCAAGGTTCAAAATCTGGAAATGTAGCTCATATGAACTCATCATCCTCCCAGGTAGCATTAGTTGGAGTAGAGTTGAACCACTGAACTAGCCATTGCACTGCTGCACTATTTTTCCTCTTGACCATCCTCCTTTCTAACATTGCCACTTGTTGCACCTTCAGCTGTCCCTCTTCATCTGAGTATGGTAGGGCAGAACCAGGAGTCACTCCCTCTCCCACCTTCTTCTTCAATAATGACACATGGAAAACGAGATGAATTTTAAAGCCCTTTGGTAACTTCAGTTTATAGGCAACAGCCCCAATCTTCTCTACTACCTGATAAGGACTATAATATTTTGTAGCCAATTTCATGTTCCTCCTAATGGCAACAGTAGTCTGTGTATATGGCTATAATTTCATAAACATCCAATCCCCAACTTCAATTGTCCTCTTTGGCCTCTTGGTATCAGCATAATGCATCATTCTAGCTTGAGCTTGTTCTAGGTTTTCTTTGAGCAACTTCGCAATGGCCTGCTTGTTCTGTACATAATCTTCTATAGCTGCCACATTGGTTTGCAAATAAGGTCCAATAGCTAGCTGAGGAGCCTTGAACCCTTAAAGAGCTTTAAATGGGGACATCTTGATCGAGGAATGATACGAAATATTGTACCACCATTCTGCAATAACTAGCCACTGGTGCCAAGACTTGGGTTTCTGATGAGTCATGCATCAAATAGATTTCCATACATTGGTTAACCCTCTCACTCTGTCCGTCACTTTGAGGATGATATGCAAAACTTAGGTACAACTCAGAGCCCAACAGTCGAAAAAGTTCCTACCAAAACTGGCTAGTGAGCACCTTATCTCTGTCAGAAACTATCCTCTATGGGATTCCATGCAACTTGCAGAATCCATCTAGAAATAGTTTGGCCATACCAGTAGCACAAATAGGATGGGATAGACCGAGGAAATGGCTATATTTTGTTAACCTGTCGACCACAACCATGATCACATTCTTACCCTTAAACATTGAAAGTCCCTCTATGAAGTCCATAGTGATATGACTCCAAGAGTATTGTGGGCCTGGTAAAGATTGCCGCAGGCCTAGATTGGGAATATTTTCATGCTTACATCTGCTACATACTTCACATTCTTGAACCTCCTTCTTGATATCATCTAATATATGGGGCCAACATAAGAATTGTTTAGCTCTCAAGAATCAAGTTTGTATACTAGAGTGGCCTCCCATATAAGCAGAATGTACTGGTTGGATCACCTTTCTCTTAATGTCTCCTCCATTTCCAATGTAAATTTTTCCCTTATACCTCAATACACCATCCTAATAGCTGTATTCAGAGTCCCCCGTAGAGGTTAACAATAATTCCTGAATTTTAGTTTGCACTACTATGTCCTCATTATAGCTGTCAATAACTTCCTGCAGCCAGGTTGATACTACAATGGTTAAGACTACACATTCCATTTGATCCACCCCTCTTCTAGATAAAGCATCGGCCACCACATTCTCAGTACCTTTCATATATTGTATCTCATAGCTCAATCTAAGCAGTTTGGAGAGCCATTTCTACTGCAAAAGTGTTGTGATCCTTTGCTCCAACAATAACTTCAAACTTTGATGATCAGTCTTAAGGACAAAGTGATGGCCCTCTAGATAATGTCTCCACTTGCTGATAGTAGTCACTATAGCCAATAACTCCTTCTCGTATATAGACATTCCTAGATGTCTAGGTCCTAGTGCCTTACTCAAATATGCCAGGGGCTTCTTTTCCTGCATCAAGACAACCCAATGTCCCCATGATAGGCATCTGTCTCAACAACAAATGGCTTGGTGAAACCTAGAAGTGCTAACACTGGGGTTGAGCTCATAGCAGCCTTAAGCAGCTCAAAGCCTCTTCTGAAGCTGCAGTCCATACAAGCCCATCCTTCTTAAGCAACTCAGTTAAGGGCTTAGCAATTGCCACATATCCCCTCACAAATTTCCTGTAGTACCCTGTTAGCCCCAAAAACCCTTTTAATTGCTTCACTGAAGCTGGTTTTGGCCAATTGATCATGCAATCCACCTTACTCTTATCAACTGCTACTCCCTCAAAGTTGATAATGTGACCAAGGTACTCCACTTTTGGTTGTGCAAATGAGCATTTGCTTCTCTTTGCAAACAGCTGCTATTCTCTTAATATTCTCAAGACAGTTCTTAAATGCTGCTTATGCTCCTCCAAATTCCTATTGTACACCAAGATGTCGTCAAAAAATACAAGTACAAATTTCCTTAGTGCTTGCTTAAACATCTCATTCATTAGGCTCCAGCTCTCAGATCAATCTTAGTGAAGTATTTAGCTCCATACAACTCATTTATAAGCTCATCAATTAATGGCATAGGGCATTTATCCTTTACAATTAACTCATTCAACTGTCTATAGTCTACACAAAATCTCCAACTCCCATCCTTTTTCTTAACTAATAATATGGGTGAAGCAAAAGGACGATTGCTGGCTTGAATAATTTCGTTCTCCAACATCTCCTTAACTAACCTCTCCACTTCTGCCTTTTGGATATAAAGGATCCTATATGGCCTCAATTTAAAAGGTCGAGCTCCCTCTTTGAGGACAATCTGGTGGTTCTGTGATCTAGGTGGGGGTAATCCCTTGGGTTCAACAAATACATCTTCAAACTCAATCAGAAGGTCTAGAACTTCCCCAGGGATTGGTTCCTTTTCCCCTTGTTGGCCCTCTGAACTAGCACAAATGCAACCTATCACCCCATAAGTGTGCTTTCTGAACCACTTCTTTGCTTTGCTTTCCCTCAATAAGCTTAATTCTCTCTCATAGTCATTACTATTTAGTGTTACTGTCTGTCCATCCTTACTAAATTCGATGAATAGAAAGTTGAAATCAAATACCACAGGGCTGTATTTTTCAACCAATCCCTAACCACCATATCATTACCCCCTAGTTTCAATGTCCTCACCTGATGTTGGAACTCCTATCCACCCATTCTCCAAATTAGAGAACTACAAATGGACTTACCGTATAGCTTGGTACTATTAGCCGAAGTTACTCCTATTGGCTTGGTAGGAATTAGCTTATACTGTAGTTGCTTAGCTAGCACTTCATCAATGAAACTATGAGCACTACCACTATCAATAAGGATAGATGCTACTCTGTTCTTAATGACACCCTTGATCCTGATAGTTTTGAAACTCACATTACCAGACAAGATATTCAAAGAGATCTCAACCTATTCACCATTCTCCATCATATGTGTCTGTTCATTTGTTTCCCCCTTTCCAAGTCTTGGATCACATACTCCTCAAAGCAAGACTCATCAGCTAGAATGAAATTGACGTGTCTAAATTGACAAACATGGTTAAGAGTGAACTTCTCATCACATTTACAACACAATCCCAACTCTCTCTTAGTCTGAAAATCCTTGGGTGAAATTTTCTAGAATTGGGTGGTTTTCTTCTGGTAATTAAGGGTAACTGGCTGGTCTTTTAATGAAGGACGCAAATTTGGAGGTTTTGAAGAAGAAGAATTCCATTTGTTAGAATTTGCTAGGGGAGGGGTTGTGTTTTTCTGGCTAGAGATTATATTGGATGCTGGTTTGATCATTGGTTTTGGAGTACTTATTAATGGCAGAAACAGTGATTTCTTGTTGGGTTGCTATTTCAATGGCTGAAGAAAGCATGGTTGGTTTTAGCATTTTCACCATGGACTTAATTTCTGCTTTTAAGCCACTAGTGACAATAGCAACATAGTAGGATTCAGACATATAAGGAAGAGAAGCACTACCAGGGCCTTTAGTTCTTCAAATCTCTCTACATACTCATCCACAATCCCTTTTTGCTTGATTTTATTAAACTTCACCACATCCTCTAGTATTCCTTCACCAAATCTCTTACAAATTTCTATGGCCATTAATTCCCATTGGAGGTAAACTTTACCTGCTTGACATCCATGGAACCATGTGTCTGTCCTTCCCTTCAAGTGCATCTCAGCTATAGCGACCTTCTGCTCCTCAGGTACTTGATGGATGTAGAAGTACTTCTGGGCCTTCCTTACTCACTCCCTGGGTATTTCTCCTTCAAAACTGGGAAATTTGATTTTAGGCAGCTTTTGCCCATCCCCCATCACTTTTGTTTGAGCTTCCTCCCAGACTTCCACTCAAATTCCCACTATAGTTACCCCTCATATTCATCCAGAGCCTTAGGATTGGGAGATTTGGCTATTCCCAAGTCTTTGAGAATTCCACATAGGTTGCTTTTCTTTGGAGAAATTCTTAAAGTCTTGAGATAATTGAGCCATTATGCTCATCAGATTATTATACTTAACATGAAGATCAACTACAAACCCTTCCAAGTTTTTCACAGCCATTCCCAGTTTCTGTCATTTCCTCAGAATCAACCACTCTAAATACCAATTGTCACAAACTCAAGCTCAATCAGTGATACTCCACTGAAATTCAGCTACGAATCAGAGAAAATGTAAAATTCAAAATGGAGATGAAAGAGATGATCAGAGAATGAAGGAAGAGTTAAGGGAAACTTGCAGAGAAAGGAATTGATCCATTCACTCACAAGGAATCGGTTTCAATATCAGTAAAATTAATAACAAAAAGTGTAGAGCCTCTTCTTCCTAATACCGGTGCCTAAAGTTACTTGTAACTAACTGCTAACGTGGACCAAATCTGGAAAAATCCATTTAACACCCCAAACGCAACAAACTACAAAAAAAACAACAAAATACTACTAATTCCTACTTAATTATGTTAACTAAGCAAAACGACATAGTTTGCATAATAACTTAACATTTTTCTGTTAATTCAACTAGTCTTGTGTCAGATATGAAGATCGAGAGTAGAGCTTTTTCTGTTGTTTCCATTTGTCAATTCCAGAAAGCACCAGGTATCTCAACTACTGCTTTAACATATCTAGGCCTGTCAACGGACCCGGACTTGAACCGGATCCATGAAATTTTTACGGGTACGGGTAGGGATTTAATTCTGTTACCCGGACCCGGATCAGGATCCGTTTTATCAAACAAAAAAATGAGTCGGATACGAAATATAGTATTTCGACCCGTATTAAACCCGGATCCGGATATAAATGGATTAATAATTTAAAATATATATTTATGAATATAATTAGATTAGGGTGATGTATTTGAGTAAAATCAATTTGATTTCTTTTCTTATTTGATTTTTTTTTTGTATTAGTTAGAAATTAGTTTATAAATATATTTTTTTCTTATTTTTATTAGAAATTGTAAGTTTTTGATAATTTTTTCGGGTAAACCCGACCCGACCCGTCGGATCCGGAACATAGAGTAGAAGACCCGTCAGGTAAACGGGTCAGATCCGGGTCCGGAATAATGAATTCCGGCCCGTTGACAGGCCTAAACATATCTCTCTCCAAACCCTAACCCTCTCCCTAATCCTAATTCCCAATTACGATTTCATTCTATTTCTGCTGCTACAATTACTGGTACTATTGCTAGCAATAATGATCACTCTTCTTAGAGTTTCAATTTCAGCTATGAATCTGGAAGTTTAAGGGAAAACATTAATGATATCGATAAGCTGGAAAATGCCTTGAGCTTGTACGATCAGATGGTCTGGTTGAGGCCTTTGCCTAGTGTTATTCAATTCAATAAACTTTTGGCCCATATTATTAAGATGAAGCATTATCACTCAGCTATTTCCATTTTCAGAGATATGCGTGGCAACAAGGGCATTATTCTAGTTGATGATTACACATTAGGTATGGGCATTAGTTGTTACTGCCTTGTGGGTCGAGTCGATTTTGGATCTTTCCCACATTAATAGTGTATATACTGTCGGCATTGGATGAATAACAACTATGCAAAATTTAAATATGAAATTCAATTTTGCATACATGTTATAAATTAGGGAGAATTGTAATTTTGGTCCCCAATCTATAGTGTATGCACGGAATTATCCCCAATCTATTTCGAAAATCAATTTTGGTCCCCAATCTATTCAATTTTGCATTAAAGTGGACAATTAACGGAATCTCTTCAATTTCAATCGGAATTAAGTCACGTGAGATTACATGCCGGCACCTAAAACCCCTTTTTCAATTTTTTAATTTCTAAAACACGTTTTTTCTAATGGCTTGGCTTTTGGCATGGACACTCCTGTCCCTTTAGCCAGATCAATTTCCTCCTCGCCAATTCTTTTCCAATCAAAACTCTGAATCAGAGATCCCAAGGCCAAACCCACCACCCGCTGTGCTAGGCCAAAACCAGGGAAAGATCTCCTTCCCACCCAAATGAAATTAGCTTTGATGGCTGAACCTGCAAGCCTTTGAATCTCTTTGGCTTGAAGCTTGTTGGATCATCCCAAACATTTGGGTCCCTGTGAACTGCCCATGCATTAACTAGCAAAATTGTGCCTTGCGGAATATTGTATCCCCCAATTTTACAATCATCGAACGACTCATGTGGCACTAGCATTGGTGCTTCTGGTACAACTGAAGTATTTCTGAAATAATGTTATAAAGATAAGGAAGATTGGATAGATCATGTTCGTCGACCAATCGATCAATCCCTACTTGAGCAACCAATTCAGCTCGAGCTTTCTCTAGCACCTCGGGATGGTTGAGCAAAAGAGACAAGGCCCATTCTATAGTCACCGATGAAGTGTCTGTTCCAGCCGTAAGCATGACCTACCAATAATATACTAGTGGTTCAACTGAATGCTCATTCCAGTTCAACGGTGAAGAATGACTAATAGGGAAAGAATATACTTACCAGTATAATCCCTTTGATGATTTAGTCTGTATAATCCCTTTGATTTTTAATTATTATCATCCGCTCTTCTCTCTCGGCTGCTTGCTTGCTTGCTTATGTAGTAGTACTGCTGCTGTTGCTGCTGCTCCTGTTGTTTGTGCAGGAGAGTTGAACTGGGTCCATCTCTAGCGTTAATTGTAGATTATCTCCATTACTAATAGAGGCAAGAACGAGACTTGGACTTGGAGGCCAAGCTGAGCTTCTTACTCGTGCTGCGGGTTCTGGGGATTTGAAGGCGGCAACCA